AAATTCGTCAAGAAGTCTTGACTCCCAGAGCCTCCGCCCAGACATCGAAGCAATGAATGGTAGTGGCATTCGTGGATGTTATTTTTCAAGCTCTGTAATGCCCTTCACCCACTTTAACCAGTCATAAAAAGGGTTCTGGAAGTCCCATTCTCTACCAAACGATGTCACCAAAGGTTTGGGCGGCTGCAACGATAAATCAGACACACCGCGATTGACATGTAAGTGCATTCGACTACGAGACACCAGCTCTACCAGCCAGCACGTGCAACTCCATCGGATGGAGCTCAAAACTCTTGCCAAACTCGTACACAAGAACCATGGACGGATGCATCCATTCAAATACACGGCAATCGTATTTTCTTAAAGTTTCTTGGCGTTATCGTCGTCCTTAAGCCAGGCGTTGTTTTTCCTTGCGAAGTACATAACAAACCGTTCGGATGGGAGACCGGGCCATTTGTCTTTAGAAACTTAGCAAATGCGCTTCAGAGCGACCCCACTGTCGCGTCTCGAACAACTTTCACTAGAAATCGGAGGTCATGACCAAACACCGCACATGCGAGCTCCATTTCGGTAATCTTTTCTCTTGACTTCTCGGTTTGACTTCTTTCTAAATGCTGGTGAGTGATCAACGTCCATCATATCCGGATACCGAATCACTTCATCACATCCGGATATGCACATATTTGATTCCTATCCATCATATCCGAATACCGCACACGTCACATCCGGATATGGCACATTACTATACCGTAAATTAACGTTAAAATAGAGCGCGTAGGATAATCCCTGAAGTTCGCAATGGCAAATGTGGGGCGGTGGGCTTCGCGCTCTGTGAGCGCCTACAAGGTATAAATCCCCCGTTTAAGCAGCCTTCGCTACATCGATCTGACACAACCCCCTCAACTATTCATTGTCTTACACCGTTAGACTGCGCGATGCAGCTGTCGCACATACTCGACTGGGCCATTAAAGAGCGCGGTGGGGACACTGTATTCGGCCTGTAAGCGGGTAATGGACAACGCCGACCAACTGGCCAAGTACGAAAAGGAGCTACAGCTTTTCCCCGCTGACACCAACCCAGCGTCGCTCTGGTGGACGATGGTGCAGCTGCACATGCCCCAGAAGACAGAGATCGAGCTCGTCGAGTTCCTAGAAGGCGCCAAAATGGCGGCCAAGACGCAACTCAAGGCAGTCAACTCGAAAGAGTTCGCAGAATACGCGGCTGGACTAACAGATGAGTCGAAAGCTGCGGACGAACTGAGTTACTACTGCACTCCGAGGTTCTTTGAGAACTTGAAAGAGGCTGCGGCGGGTACATTGAAGGACAAGAATATGACACTAGAGCTGCAGGAAATTAACATTGAGAGCATCGTAGTGACCGATGTGAGGTACGCGCAGTTGACTCAGACGGAGTATGAAGCGCAGACCGCGGGACTCGCAGTTCTCCCGTTTCTTTGGGCGTCCGACGCCACGATTGAGTACATGCAAATTCACGTGAGGACTAGGAGTCTTGAGACCACAAAGATGACGCTTATCGGTGAGGAGGAATGTCTCGCACTGCAAGACAATTCGCGTACGTGGACGTTTGGAAGCAAAGTCGGCAGCTTGGAGGAACTGGAGTGGCGTATTGTGAATACTGTTGGGGCGAATAATGATGCCAAGCAGCTTTCGCGTACGGTGTACGCTGACCAACTTGATGAGGGTAAACGGGATGATAGACACGTCTAGAAGTTGATATACACTACCAATAATTTTTTTATACAAATAAGTGTCACTATTATGATTCGTCAGTCACTCATGAACGTCTCGGGCATGGAAGCCCCCCAACGACCACGCTGTTTTTGGCCACTTCGTATATTTTTTTTTAAACATGTTGCCAGATCCAACTTGTTATAGCCAGCCTATATTTGATTTTATTATGGTCTCGTTTAAGTACGAGCTCCGGATTTGTTCATGGCCTTTCGTTAACCCACTTACAAGTTGCCTCA